GGGGGGGGGGAGGGGCGTGTGTGTGTGTGTGTGTTCCGGTGATTTGTTATAAAACGCGCGATCCGCGAGATTTATTCGATCGAAATCCATATATCGCTTTGAAACGCTCGGCGAAAAGCGACGCGCGACGACGGTCATATTTCCGGGAATATTGCATGCCGCGAATATTTATCTTTAATTTCAACCCGTATATTTGTTCGCACTCGCATATTTGTTCACTTATCTCGTAATACGACGTAATAATCGCGAGTTTAGACCGCGAGAGCATACATATATATGTATATTCGCAGTTCAAAGCGCAGCTAAGAGCAACAGATGTAATCGCGCTGCTACCCGACGGGATCATCGAGACTGGCGAGCTTGGCACGTGAAGTTGGCCGCACGCGTATACCTATTCTCCTCTCCGCCATTTTGGACGCGTGGCTCGTACGTGTTAATTTGCAAAACATCGCGCACGTATACAATCCAACGGGGGCGATACAAACGTTACACTCGTAGAGCAGGCAGAGAAGGATACACTATAGGAAGTATACGAGAAGGTACCATATTTGTGACGTAGACACATCGAGCGGAGCGCAATTTTAGAAACGATGAAAACGTCTTGGCGTTCCTCTTCCCGTCTCGCAAAGTTCTCGTCGCGTGCGGGATGATATCGGGAGTGCCGTGCGAAGTTCCGCGCGATCGTCCTGCAGGTGATTAATACGATCGTAATTAAGCTTGTTTCGGGAGCGAGTGTCGCGTGTGAGTGCCATGAAGGAGCAGCGACGAGGAGGGAGCTGAGACGAGGAGGCCTGCTGCTGGGAGGAGGAGGTATCGGGCGCCGGTGGAACAACCGTGAGGTGAATAATTTATCCATATTTAATTATCACTTATCTATACATATATTGTCTGTATCATTTAATAATATTTATCTGCATTCGCGCGTCATTGGAATTAATGTTCCATATGCGCGCAATGATTATCTTTTGAAACGTGGCGTACGTTGGGTATTGCAATATAATTTGGATTTATTTGTATTTTACAGATCGATGTATTTCAACTCCGCCGCCGCGCATCGTACTGGTGAGTAAAAAATTGAATTTTATGTTTTGGTTTGAGGCAATGGATCTATGAGAATTGTATCGAATAACGTGAAAAAAAAAAAATATATATATATATATGTAAAGTCAAGAGCATGAAATATTGTATGTAGATAATAACGTTTTATAGATCTTATTGCTTTAAAATGGACAGAGGATAAAAAAGATTAGTGATATTTAATTCTGGAATCAATACGATAATATATACCGTTCGACAAAATTACATTTTTTACCAAGTATTTTTTGCACAAGGCAAATTTTTAGTAGTATTGTATAATGAAATTGAAGATAATATACTATATCGTGAGGATACAAAAATATTAATAACGTCATTTGTGAATAAAAAAGTCTAATATATTTAATTAAATTAAAAATTGTTGGATGTATTTATACCAGATTATAATAATGAACAGTGAAAAAGAATAAACGAAATAAAATTACAACGAATGAAATATTGATATTTTTGGAGCGTAGGTAAAATTTTTACTTTAGGTTTCTTTATGATGTTCGTATTTTAATGATAGTTCGAAGAAGATTAGACTTAAATGTTTAAGTATTTTGTGGAATAAAAACATATTGATATAATATTATAATAAATAATTATTAGTATTAATTATTATTTATATGTGATACTTAATTTTTTCTTCCATCTATACCCACACGAAAGTAATCCGTATTCTTCCAGGATTAAATATTGTACGAACTAATGCAATAAAATAATACTTAGAAATTTTTTCCAATTAGCATACACAGAAGGTTGGAAAACATTTCATACGTCACAAGAACAGAAAATTTATATGTTAGTTTTATCAAATTAATTTATTTAACAAAAATTTAATTATTGTGTCTTTTTATATTGTATGAGTTTTGTTAATATTTTTTTAACCTGTAGTCGTTTATATTTACAAATCACTTTATTTAAAACAAAAATAGAATAAACGTGATAATTATTTTATCGTTTATTTATAAATATTTTGTATATTTGTAATATATTGTTCTGTAATATTAAATTGTACATTATACATACAATTATTAATGTTGTCAGGTTTTACGTGAATAATTATTTTGTTTTTCAACAAAACACAGTTTCAGTTAATTTTTAATGAGAACAAA